TGCGAATGTATCCGTCCCCGATGTCAACAGGTGGATAGATCCGACTACACTTTAGGCACGTGACAGAGGAGCGGTTGCACTCACACCGGGAAGGCCACACACAATTTGTTTAATCGATATGAGAGATCAGACAACGCGTACAATTATGCTGCTTCTTATTATGGACGTAATGCACTACTCATAAGGCTGCTGAGAACTTTTCGACAGCCCACGATTGGTTTCGCTTCTCTTGAAGCTCATCAGGTAGGCGCCATCCCCGAGTTTCCGTCAACCCGGTGTCCTACTTGGGAACACTATAAACAGGAGATTTATCTGGGTCTCCGATCATAACCTAATCGGAATCCAAGTGTGTGCATTTCGCTATACTGTTTCTCCTCTAGATGAAGAACACTCAGGCTGCAGAACAGAAAACTCGAAGGTAGATCGAGCATGATGTAACCTCGTGACTACGGCTTGTATGAGTTGTGATAGCCTATCGTCACTGTAGGGGGTGAGATGGCCCAAGTCGTGAGAGCGCGAATTCATTGACCGGCCCGTGGTTCGAACCCGACCTCTGTCTCTCTCTCCCTCTCGACTTCCCTGTCTAGGCTTGGGCAACCTGGCAGTATCCCAGCCCTTCGGGTGGCATGACAGCTAGGCACCGAAAGGGTGCTACAGGTGAACGATCGTCGGTGTGGTGTCTTGCTGTGAGGCTGTTTTAGGTGCGATATGTCTAACCAAAAGAATCCGTGGTAGTAAATTTCAAGTAAAGTTAAGGCATAACAACAAAACATAGATTCACCGCTCTGGGGAACGGTAGAGGTAGAAACCACATATTCGCGTAGAGGGTGCATCAGTGGGCCGAAAGCTTACTGTTTACAGTATGGACAGAGCAGGCTTGCTATGATCGTACCGGTGAACGACAATTGTTTTGTTAGCTTCAACTTCCACCCTTCCAGTTTTAGGATCTTTATCGCTGGAACATTTTTAAACCCTAATCAGGCCTTAATAAATAAATATAATATACAAACGTTTGACTGCGTAGCCCACGCAAATCTCTATTAGCCTGGTCCGGTCAATTTTCTGGACATTCTCTCACAACCGTAGGGTCCGCTGGCGACCATTCAGATTGTTGACCGTGATCCGATGTGCTACGCCGAAACCAGAACTGGTTCTGTTCTGTTTTCTGGAATAGTATATTCCTGAGCTATCCACGTTTAGTAAAACAGATGCACTTTAGAGCCCAGTCAGCTGGAAGAGTGCATCAGCAGGCGACTAGGAAACGTCAGTGATGTGCAGGGTTACCGAGCGTCGGGAAATTAAAGTAGTCTCCTAGAGGAAACTACTCACAAGGTTGCTGAAAACTGTTCGACAGCCCACGACCGGTTACGCCCTTCAGGACATCAGGTAGGCGCAGTTGCCGAGTCTTCGCCAACTTTGTGTTTTATTTGAACCCAAATTGTACGAAAATCTTGGACCACACTCGCACACCAAAGTGGTTTTACGGTAAACTCGAATAAATCTCGACCGAATCTCTCTTTCATGGTACTTTTCGATTGAATGTGTTGCACGAGAAATTCACCTGGAATTCAGCTGAGATTACAAACAAACAAATCGGTGTTCAGATGAGCGTTGTTCACGCTTCTCTTACTGTTACCTGGGCTTCGTTCTGGGAATACCAAACATATGTGCTCGGCAGCTTATTGGAATCTGTGTTGTTTGTACACATGTGATTCAAGCGCTATCTGTTGTCGGTTTTTTTTTGTTTCGCGAAGGAAGTTGTTCCTCTACAAGGCTATTTTTGTCGACTACACTCCATGGCATAACGAGGGCACCGCGTGATGGTCAGGCGATCTGGTCATGTGAAAAACCAGTCCGATTTCATACGCTACCGGTCCCACTGTTGATGTTTGATCAAACTGGTGTGTGTACGTCGTTACGTATGTTGACGGTCACTTATAGGGCATTGATCTAACCACCTGTGGAACCCATGTTTTAAAAAAAAATGGACTACGGTGAATATTCATAAAGAAAACTACTCACAAGGTTGCTGAAAACTCTTCGACAGCCCACGACCGGTTTCGCCCTTCCAGTTCGGGCTTATCAGGTAGGCGCAGTCCCTGAGTTTCCACCGTCAACTTTATGTTCCACTTGAAGCCGAATCGGACCGTTTTCGAGAAATACACTCATTTGCAGATCAGTTTGGTCTTCACGAGAGACTCAACTGAATCTCTCGTTTATGATCATCAGGTAGGCGCAGTCATGGGCTGTCGAAGAGTTTTCAGCAACCTTTTGAGTAGTTTCCTTTATGAAAATATACTGCGATATCTCGAATGTCGTACCAACTGAAACATGAGGAGGTCTGTGTGCAGTATTTTCAGTTGTAGAATATAATAAACGAGAGATCCAGTTGAGTCTCTCGTGAAAACCAAACTGATTTGCAATGAGTGTATTTCTCGAAGGCCTCGGTGAACACAGAAACACAGAACAGTCCAGTTAACAATCCAAAAAGTGGTTAGAGGTACCAGTGAAGTGTACTCATTTGCAAACAAATTTCGCGTTGCGGGAGACTCGCCTGGAATATGAGGCGGCCTGGTGCAGCACATTAAGTTGCTTGGGTACACTAGAGATTCAGCTAGGTTCCAGGTGAGTCTTCTATCAAAACCAAATCTGTTTACAAATGAGTGTATTTTGCCAATTTCGTGCAATTTGCATTCAAGTAGGTCATAAGGTTCACGGACGCTCGGGTCGTTCCTTTCGGTAATTTAGTGGGTCCTCTCACCGCATATCAACGGATCACAGGATGTGAGTCTTGGAAGCTAGCCGTTGATACCTTTGAAGTCTACGTATGCTACTTAACGTCCTAATCCAGGCGGTTTTACTACAGAAGTGTGTCGGAAGTTACGGTATGTAGTGGGCGACCGGAAACCCACTATGGGTCTATCAGGAAGATCAGAATTGTGAAAGCAACCACCGCGTGCTCGAAATCCACCGAGACTCAGCTCCGCTAGAAGTTGACCAGACAGACAACGCCCCCTCAATATGCAGCGCGTCACAGCCTTGTATCAAACCCAGACAGTGAGAGCCAGCGTTGATCAAGGTCAGACAACGTGCCCGCAATATGCAGCGCGTCGCAGCATCGTACCAAGGCCAGACCGCGTGCGTCAGCATTGGGCCAAGTTCAGACAGTGTTCCTCCAATAGATAGCTAGAGACTGTCGTACTCGCACGCACTCACACCTCGTACTCGCTTGTCCGAAATATAGCTGTTGTGTTCCCTTCTGTGAGCCTTTTTTCCGGCATTAGGCACTGGAGCAGGTCAGAAGGAGATACAACAGACTGACGAATCAGCAGATAGAACAGGGTCTCTCAACATTCGGTTTCCACATCTACTACCAAATACGTCATTATTTCGCGTCCCCCTGAGTCCAGTTTTCCACAAAGTGAATGGTTTACTTCTCCATAGAATGTATAATGAATCAGAGAGTTAATGATCCGAGGCTACTCGCCGAAGTCACACGTTGATGAACCATTTGTTTCTACTCGGTGCTGGGGGCGAGATAGCTCAAGTGGTTAGAGAGCGAATTTACTGACCAGAAGTTCCCTGGTTCGAACTCAACCTCTACCTCTTGACTTCCCCTGTCTAGGCTCAGGCAACCTGGCAATATCCCAGCCCTCGTGCTTCCTTCGAGTGGCATGGTAGCTAGGCGCCGGAAGGATGCTACAACTGATTTCAGACCGGAATGATGAACAATGTTGGGTCAAGCGATTAGAGCGTGAATTTACTGACTGGAAGGTCCATGGTTCGAACCCGACCTCTGCCACTCGACTTTCCCCTGGGCAACCTGGCAGTACCCTAGCCCTCGTGCTTCCTTCGGGTGGTATGGCAGCTAGGCACCGGAAGGGTGCTACAGCTGAACGCCACGGAACGTCTGACACAATCACTCAAAATGAGCAAAATCTAACCACGTTCGCAGAATTGGTACCCACAGAGAAGCACTCAGGGCCTGGATATATCTGTGTGACAATTGAGTCTAAATTTTGAAAACCAACAACACCATTAAAAGCAAAAGCATCCGGAAGAGTTATTTCACCTGGTTGACGTCCACCTCTGAAGACCACAGTTACAGCTTTGTGTGCCAGTATCATCGTCACCACCATCAACAAGGTCGCTGAATGCCTATGTTTCATATCTTTACACCTATGAGCCAATAGGGTATGCAGAGTATGCAGGGTATGCAGGTAAGAGTACATGCCTTATCAGGTGATCCAAACTTCATCTGATATCGCTTCGAATCCATGGGTCCGGCCAACCAGGAAGGCCAGCCAATCACAGGCGTAGCAGCCAAGTAATTCTCCAGCAATTTCTCTACATTTTGACGAATGTAGTGAGCGCGACAAAGTTACGAGGTGAAGCTGTTTCGTAGACACTCCGCCACGTCCCGTTCACCACTGTGAATTGCAGACAGAGAACGGCACCCTTCTCGACAAGTATCAGACGTGATAAGGGTCTGACTGTAGACTCCAAGATGGGTGAGGAACTTACATTGGAACCTTGAGAGTGAATGGCTGAACCGAGAATAGCAAGACAGTGAGATTCGAAACAGTTATCATTGGGATTTCGAAATCTATTAAACGTTGAACGATTCTCTCACGTCGAGTGTCTGTTTCATCTGATCCTCTTCTGCAGTAGACATCGGCGATATACGCCTGGTCAGTTGAACAACTTGTTAACCAGTGTGGAACGGGTCCATCGGTAATTCGACTACGGGAGTTGCGCAGCTCTCCACCCACACTGACGCAAGGATTTGTGTGGCTCTGTAAAGTACTCGGGACCTATCAGCATTCTACGGCCGTTGTAACAACACGTATTACCGTCAGTGATCCCCGGCAAATCGATGTTCTCATATCTGTTGGAAAAATAACACAGTAAAGTCAACCCGAACAAATGCACGTGAAGAAGTTAACGATTCCACCGAAAACTTCGGTTCAGAATCTGTCAACAGAGTGAGCAAATGTCTCCGTATTGAAATACAGTCTGCAGACACAGATGACCATATTTTCGTCCCAGTAACGATCTGTCTAACCCACTCTGCTCACCTAACTGGACTGCTTCTACTCACCTTTAAGAACATCAACTTACAGACACTTCTGAACGCGATCGGTTGTACACGATTCTAAGACCTCACTTCTACATCTAAAAACCACAGAGGTAGGTTTTTCCTGAAAGTCAGAAAAATTTTAAATAAATCCCACTCTAATAGGAATACAGTGAAGTGCTTGATACTCGAAACTCAATCGAAAAATGAAGGTTGACGGAAATGTCCAGTGTCTAACTTGCACAAATTAGACTAAAAAGTTCACAGTAACAGGCAAGGCGATCGATTGGACCAAACCAAAACTAGTGCACAATGTTCCGAAGGTCAGTCTTGTTCAAAATACACTTCGGAACTGGCATATCCGCACAATCATCAACCAGACATATTGATTTTCCACGACCGATTTCCACCGTGCAGTGAGTGCACACACATTCCACCGACTACCGACCACGATGACGAAAAAAGCACCCTTGACCAAAGCATTGCTGAAATCCTGGTTTTTGGATCTCCTAGCTTAAAGTACACACGCGCATGCGCAGACGGTATACTAGTTTGATTGATTAGTCAGCAGTGCGCTTTAACAAAAATCGATCAAGAACTCATGGTAATTTTTCTCGGTTTGTTGCTGGTTCAGTGGTTGAATGTGTTTGTTCGTATGTTTCTCATCCGCATGGCGACTGTCGCCACGTTCTGTCAACTGTGCGCAAGTACACTTTGCGCTACGTGGGGAGCAAAACCTCCCCCCGGGCCCAGAGGATGCTCAAAGATTTCAGCTACTAAAGCCGAGAAACAGAGAGACTACAGGTCAAATGTCCTATCCTGATTCGTGTTATGTACGCGAATATGTCATTAGTTTGGTGAATATTGAGCCCTTTATCATAAGATTGCTGAAAACTCTTCAACAACCCGCGACGGGTTTCGCCCTTCTTTGGGTTGGCTCATGCTCTACTTGAACCCAAATTGGACTGATTGTGACAAATACACTAGTTTGCCAATCCATTTGATTTTCATGAGTGAATTTAGAGTTCGCACCTTTCATATATGTACGCACGTGAGACATGTGCAAGCCCCAGTAAATGAAACACGTTGGGATACTAGGAAACGACGAAGGTTCATAGTTATCCGTGTCAGAATATTCCCATATACATATCGTCCAAGCTCACTTTGCCGTGTGATCGGTAGTTGTACGATACTGCCTTTACAATGGTCCAGTGAAGTGTGCAAGAAAAACTTTCCGCTATCTCGCTCACCGTGAAAACGAAAGATCACCACTCAAAAGGTTGCTGCCAACTCTTCGACAATGTGCTGCCAGCGTGACGGTGGATACTACTGATGAGGCATGCGAGTAGTATGTGATTTTCTCGTAAATCCGTTTCGCTTCTCTTGAAAAGTGAGATCTATTACGAAAAATGGTAGCATTTGCTTGCATTTGAGTAATAGTCAAGTAAAGTTCAGGAAGTCGCGTCCAAGGAGAAGATGGATATTCAGTTTTTCTAAACATGATGCACATGAGAATTTTACTTCCCTGTCTACTAATCTGTAGCTGTTCCGTTGGCGTCCCCTTTACCAGTTCCGCCTTTCTTGTGACTAAGCGGACTAGTGTAGTCCTCGAATTTCCGTCAACCTTATGTTCTGCCTGGACCCAAATTGTACGCATTCTACGAACTACACTCAGTAACAGAGTAAATTGTTTTCTAACGGTAGGCTTAAAAGTACCTTTAGTTGAATCCCTCGCTTATAGTGTTCTGCGGTCTATCGAAGATTATACCAGCTGAAAAATGAGGCGACCTTTGTATAGCGCATTCGGTTTACGAATATTGTAAAGAAGAAATTCAGTCGGGATTCAATCGGGTCTCTGTACAATCCTACCAAGCCCTTCAACAGATTATCTGCGGACCGCTTATTCCACAAGTTCTGACGGACAGAAAACAGTCATTCGATAAACCCGTAATCAAACTGGCGTCCAGCATCACACATCACTAAGTAACCCTGTGGAAGTATGATTTTACCACTAAGTGCATCCCTCAAAATCTTCACAAAACAAAAAGGTAAATGAAACATAGATAGAAAAAACAAACTGATTTGTAAATGAGTGTATCTCCCCAAAAATCAGTTCAATTTGGGTTCAATTAGAACATAAGGTTGACGGAAACTCGGGGGCTGCGCCTACTTGAAGAGCCAACCCCAAGAAGGGCAAAACCGATCGTGGGCTGTCGAAGAGTTTTCAGCAACCTTGTGAGTAGTCTCGTTTATGAGAAAGTAAATGTGAACTGTTTCATCCCTCCCAAAGTTGCTTCTTTTAACGTCTGATAGTGCACAGCCCATGTCTATATAAAAAGTGTAATAAATAAAATAAGGCGAATTGGAA